TGTCACTTATCAAACGTAGCACCCAAACTAGCCCTATTTATACTGTCGCGGAGAACCTAACGGGTAACCGGGGCTCCGGCTCGACGTGCAGGAGAAGGAACGGGGTGGTTTTTAGTCAGTAAGAGTCTGACACTCCCTCCCGCCTCACCCAGGCGGGAGCAGTCATACGATATTTGCCCCCCATAAAAAACCTTACTTATACTGTAAGGTGTCACTTATAGGATGGTGCAAACCAAAATGATGTAAGATGTCACCTATCTTTTTTTTTCGAGGGGGGAAAATCATCGAATGACTCCCGCCTGGGTGAGGCGGGAGGGAGTGTCAGACTCTTACTGACTAAAAACCACCCCGTTCCTACTCCTGCACTTCGAGCCGGAACCCCGGTAACCCGCTAAGCCCTCCGTGACATGTAGCAGTGTGTTATTTATTATGTTTGACGAGGAACTTGACTTTTTTCTAACCATAATTACGTGACAGTCGCCGCATCGCGGGTCGCGGAATGCTGCTCATGAATACGAGCCTCTAGCATGGCTAATATAAGTGTGGAAGAGCCATGCTTCGGCACGAATGGGCCTGCTCGACCGAAGTGATACCACGGCCGAGCAGAAAACCGACGTGAAGCAACGCTTGCATTGTGTTTCGTCGTATTATTGAGGTTACCGGAGGCCCAGTTAACCCCCCCCCCCTCGTCTCCCCAATCCCCCACAATCCTCAAATTCTCAATCCCCAAAAGACCGGTAGGTAGGCAAACGTAGTGTAGGGCGCCCTCCAGCTAGGAGGAGTGACGATATACGTAAAGTGGCTGTTAGTGGTTGGATGCGTAGAGCTGAAGACCGAGCTCAGTGGCGTGCCATTGGAGAGGCTTATGTCCAGCAGTGGACGAAAACAGGCTGTTGATGATGAAAAGGCCGGTAACGCACTTGTAACGGCTCTAGTGTTCCAAGTGTCCATGGGCGATGCCGATTGCTTACCGGTGATCGGTCTGTTCGTTTACCGGCTTATTCTATAAAAAAATAGTTTGAAACTAGTCGAATTCCTTCTCAAACAGTTACGTGAGTAAGCCGGAAACATAATAATTAATTTAGTATGTCACACGATAGTTTTAATATAAACATATCTTAGTGAGTTTTCAAATTTAGGCGAGTATGGTGAACACGGTGTTTAGTTTTTCAACTAATACTTATAATTGGTTATATAATATGTTAAACTATGTACAAGATTATGAGTAGTTATGTATTATTTGCATCGACTGCCTAATTGGACGAGTGGTCGCAAATGTGACTGCCGGGCTAGGGGTCTCGGGTTCGATTCCCGGGTTGGGCACAGTATTAATGGGTTTTTGTTTTAAATTCTCAGTAGTAGCACAATCAATGTAGTACATAATATAATATCATGCCTTTTATCCCCGAAGGGGTAGGCAGAGGTGTACATTACGGCACTAAATGCCACTGTACAATGTTATACCCATTTTTCACTATTTATGTTATGAGTCCCATGTAATAGGGGGTGAGCCTATTGCCATATACCGGGCACAATTCCATACTCCGTGCTACTACTGAGATTTTTTTAAATCCCAGTATTATTTTTCCCGGCCCGGAAATCGAACCGGAGACCCCTTGCCCAGCAGCCCACTCCCTTGCCCACTCGGCCAACGAGGCAATCATATTATTTACCACCGGTATGTTGAAAATAGGAAATGTTACAATTTTACCAAATTATATGTCAAGAATGTACACATATATTGGAGAGGCCTATGTCCAGCAGTGAACGAATACAGGCTGATGATGATGATGATGATGATGAATGTACGGTCAAAGGTCAAAAGTCCACTGCCACCGTAAGACTACTATCGGTTGCGCTGCAGCGCTTATACACACATGCACACGCATATTTGTATCCGTGTGCGTACGCGTGCGTGTGTTTATGCGTACGCACGCGTTTTTTATGCACATTAATATGGAATTACTTACGCATTGCCGTGTGAACATCACTCACGGTGGCAGTGGACTTTTGACCTTTGACTGTACATATATTGTAGGTTATCGAACACTTGTGATCACCATCCATGTAGCGTCATTTGAGAAATACTGAGTCTTGCTGGCCCAGAGGTTCAAGACGCCCGCTTCTCATGCATGAGAGTGCGCGTCCGAAACCTACCAACGGCAAGTACCAATGTGACTTTTTCCGAGTTATATGTACTTTCTAAGATTATTCAGACACCACTGACAAACGGTGAAGGAAAACATCGTGAGGCAACCTGGACTTGAAATTTCTAATTATAAGTTTGAAATTCCCCCGCATTGAGTTAGCGTTGTGATTAATGCTCAAACCTTCTCCGTGTGAGAAGAGACCATTGGTCAGCAGTGGGCATTTATAGGCTGTTGATGATGCATTCGTCAAAAAGCGATAGCCAGGTTTATCGTGGCCGCTTCGTGGAGTTTTCATTGTTTATAAGCAAGATGCAAGCATTTATAGGCTGCCTATTGTGTGTGAAGGATGCTATATTTTATGGAATAAGTCTGTAAACGAGCTGACGAATACAAGTGAAACAAGTGAATTTATTTCTGCAAATAGGCTACAAGGCAGCACTTTTACACGTCAATTTTATCAAACGAACGATGAGGTCGACATTTCCTAACTGACTACTCTGAGAAGAAATGCCGAAACAAACTCAGAGGTCTGTCTCTTTTAAAGTCCAGACAAATATGTATAAAAAGATTACGTGTGAGAACCGTGCAAGTTCTTTCTGTAGTGGCCTTTTGAGGAAAGAACCACAACAGTTTGAGCGGAATGACCTGATGGTAAGCAATCGGCGCCACCCATGGACACCCGAAACACTAGAGGTGTTCCAAAGCGTTACCAGACTTTTGGGGATAAAGAATGAGCATTATTGGGGATTCGGGAGATTGGTGAGGAAGGTAAATGGGGCTCCGGTAACCTCACTCACACGACGAAACACAACGCAAGCGTTGCTTCACGTCGGTTTTCTGCTCGGCCGTGGTATCACTCCGGTCGAGCCGTCCATTCGTGGCGAAGCATGGCTTTCTCTTAAATACATTCGTCAAATGACTCAGCGTGGATAGTGTCCGTTAGTAGCACTAAACAATTCGAAAGTGCATCAATGATATTTCAAAGTATTATATTTAAAAATGTAATTTTTTATAGTAAGTACAATAAATAATTTTAATTTCGAATAATTAACTTTAGAGGGTAATTTACCTCCTTTAAAAAATAGCAGGTCACCTTTTTGAACATTTATATTATCATTTTTACATTTATAAATGCGAAATTCACTTTGTTCAGTCTGTACGTCTTATTAATTCAAGCATTTTTTGTTGGAATTCTGCATATGTATACGGACCTGACAGAGGTTGTCCTACATATTATGATATTTCAAGCGATAAGGGTAATAAAAATGGTATGAAAGGAAAGAGCAATAGCGCCATTGCCGGGCTGATTTGTAAATCTAAACCATCCAGGGCGCCAATCAAACGCATCCAGAAAAAATCATTTAAATCGGTCAAGCCGTTTAGGAGGAATTCAATGACATACACAAATAAACCAGAATTATATATAGAAAGATATATATACCAGCGACCCGCCTCTGCTTCGCACGAATGCAATATGCATGTATTAAACATATAAACCTTCTATCTATTAAAAAAACCGCATCAAAATCCGTTGCGTAGTTTTAAAGATCTAAGCATACATAGGGACAGACAGACGGCGGATAGAAAGAAAGAAAGGAAGATAGCGACTTTGTTTTATACTATGTAGTGATATTTAGGAATACTTTTTAAGATAATTTAGATACCACTGATAAACGGTAAAGGAAAACATCGTGAGGAAACGTGGACTTATAAGTTATAATTTTTAATAATAAGTTTGAAATCACCAACTCGCATTGAACAAGCGTGGCGATGAATGCTCAAACCTTCTCCGTGCGAGAAGAGGCATTTGTTCAGCAGTGGGTATTAATACACTGATAAATATTAGAATTTCATAATATAGAATGTTCATTTAACCAACTATAGTTAGAATTTTAATTAGATTCCAGATTTGACAATAGCTACTGTCATTTTGTGAAATAATGATACCACATATAATAGTGTAGTGATGCACACAAAAATCGATAAACAATCAGTGTGTGTGTTTTATAATAAATATTACAGAAAGTGACAGGATAGCGATAGCGATGACGGCGACAATTTATAAAATAACTTATTACCATAATACATCTATCTGTTTTATTTGTCATGTTCCTTCGTGATTACATTTTTTTATTTATTTCACACACAATCATAAAAGAAAAGTCTCAGATCGTTAATTAATCGTCAAAACTAAATTATCAGTTCAGAAATGTTTAATTTCCTGATATACTTAGTTTACGAGAGTAAAATTATAAACGAGAAGAATCGATCCAAAAATATTGCATTTCCATATCGATTAATTTCGCAACGTCACTATTTAGTACTTGTCATAACGTTGCAACACTGAAATTGTCAAATCTGGAATCGAATTAAAATTCCGAGTATAGGTCGTAATGTGACAAGTTTATTCAAAAAGTGACCTTAACAAAATGGAATTATGGCTTAATTATTCATTGGCATTTTTGTGGAATGTTCCATACGAAATTACAATACATATAATATTGCTAAATGGAATATTTTTCTTGTTTTAAGATTGTTATGCGAAAACTCAAAATCAAATAAAAAAAAACAAAATTAACTGTTGTTTTTAATAAAATTCTCCTTTTTTAAAACTCAAACATAAATTATTTCTTTTATGTAGATATAAAATTAATTATCGCGCGCAATACTGATAAGGACTATGGGCCCCCATCGTGACTTGAAACCAATCGAGGTACCTCGTCAAAAAGCTACGTGAATAAAACATTATTTTTTATTATATTTTAAAAGTTTTCGCACAACACAACAACCGTACATAAGATTAAAACTTAAATTTTATACATTTACAAGTAAACATTAATTTAGTTTAATTTATTTATTTTCGTTAGATTTCAATTGTTCTTTTAGTCGAGATATTTCAGCGCCGAGCGTGTCCATGTTTTCCTGAAAATTTATTAATTTCATGTTAAAATAATTCACCATTTAAGTTACTTACATTTTTTTTCAACTGATGACTGTTGTTGTTCAACTATACTTACGGCCGAAATAAATAAGCCGAAATAAAATAAACAAATACACAATTTTAACTATTACCATTTTATAGACAACTAGCGACGCGCCCCGGCTTAATACGGGTGCAATATACATGTATTATACATATAAACCTTCCTTAAGAATCACTCTATCTATTAAAAAAACGCATCAAAATCTTGTAGTTAAAATCGCGTAGTTTTAAAGATCCAAGCCGTCTGTCTGTCCCTATGTATATAGGGACAGACAGACGGTGGATAGCGACTTTGTTTTATACTATGTAGTGACTAGCTGCTGCCGGCGACTTCGTACGCGCATTCTGTGGAATTTCTTTCGAACATTCCAATTTTATTTATCTGTATATAGATTTTTAATTTGACTATAGACAGCTTAAATTTTTAACTATTGTCTACAGACTATAACATACCTTAAGCGTGATATTCTTAAGCAGTGTATCTTCGAGCACGGCTTGGAGACGTCTGTTCATCTCCAGGGACAGCTCCGCAGTGATGCCGCCCGGGTCCCCGCCCCAAACGGCCGCCATTGCACCGCCGCCCAATCGCGCTATCTCTTTCTGCCGTATACAACATTATACATGTTAGAAGGAGACAAGGATACGAGACACTTGAAGCATACCAAAACTCACGTAAAACTCAAGGAAATCTCATTGGAATTGAACAGCATTTATGTCAAAGTCAAAATCATTTATTTTAATTAGACCAAGAAAGTGAAGCTATTTGCTCATTCCAAGGCGTAGATTCCTATGGAGAAGAACGAGCAAGAAACTCCATAGGTTACTCTTTTTCAATCAGGTTCACAATACAATTCTCTAGTTACATAGTTTTGCTGTTTGGATTATGCGAGAACAATGTAACACCTAAATCCAGTCAGAAAGACTGAAAAAGAAAATAACCTTGAGGATAATAAAATAAAAAGATACAGTCTGGAGCTAACCAGTCCCAGTTGACGGTGCCTGTTCACGAACATGACACGTACTCCAGCACCGCCCAACTCAACCATATTGTAGAGAATCGAGCGATCCAATGCACGTGCCACCGCCAAGGAGACCTTTGAGTGAGCATAATATGGTCCACTACACTAGCACGAGTGGGGTTAATGGGAGTTCCTAAACGATATCTCGAGGCTGGTGATGGTATAAGTTTTTAAATATAAATCTTAATAATATCGGAACTATCTAAGTGATTGATATTGTAATAGGTTTAAGTTTCTTTTTTGTATCCTAGAATGTACGTATTTTGGCTCTTGCTGTAAACTTTCATTTTAATGTAAATAAATAAATAAATGGTCAATAAATGCGTATACAAAATTTCGGCTTTCTCACATCCATATTAATTTTTCATGTTTATTAAAATAAGTCGTAGCTACGATAAAACTAGTACTTAAACATTAAATAGCAATCATTACCTTGGTTAGCTTCCGTTTAGCCTACGATAGCAGCATGAACAGGGAAACAATATTATATAAGGACAATGGAGATACATTATTGAGGGTGACCAGGGTATAGCCTAAGATAGATATACTAAACTAAGGAGAATGCAAAAAAAATCAGCAGCTGTAGCCAAATGCCACTTAGCGCTTGTCTACATGTAGAATAGAAAACCAAATTATATGGAACTTTACCCGCGGCTTCGCTCGCGTCACAAAAGAATAAAAAGTAGCCTATTATTTAATCCAGACTACTAACTTTACGTCTGCAAAAATTCAAATCAATCGGTTTAGTAGTTACGGCGTGAAAGCGGAACAAACAAACAAACTCACTTTCCGATTTATAATATTATATAAGTAAGGATTGACGTAAATTTTGACGCTTGCCAGTGTCATCCCCATACATTTTGATTTCTACTCTCTCTGTAGACAAGCGCTAAAGTGGCTTTTGGCTAAAGGCCCTATGTCGATTAAAATAATTCATGGATATGTAATAGACTATAAGAAAGAGGCTATAAAGGTTCACTTCGTTGCGGGGAACCAAGACAGTTACTCATGTCCCTGGGACGCGCCGGACTTCAATGTTCCGGTGTTTTTATGGTTGTATCTACTGTAGATCCTGGCTTACAGGAGTTGCAGCGGTTTTGGGAGGTTGTGGCGAGCTTGTGCCGAAAAAGAGGTCACAAATACGCTATTCGTTTTGGATAAAACCGTAACCGAACGGGGAAGGAGCCTGCGGAATATTGCAATTTTATATGGGCGCGTGAATAATTATCATTTTTGACGTGACAACGTCTTATAAATTGGTTTGCCGGGTGACACTTCAAGAAACTGCGTTACGCTCCGCTCACGTAATGCGCTCACAATGAGAGCGAGTGAGAGGCACGCGTCCCTTCCACTCGGGAATGGTTAGCCCGCCTAAGAGCGAGAGAGACAGACATAAAAAGTGAAAGGCACACCACTCAAAGTCGTTGTCACGTAAAACTTTCGCCCGTATACCGACTTTACAGGCAACCAATTTTTTTTGTTCTATCTTTGTTATCAGACTAATAAAACAGAAAGCGATGAAGAATACAGATAAAGTATTATTATATTTACGAGAATTACAAGCAAAATAAACTCTCACGTAATGTTATAAATAATACAACTAGCCACTTGCGCGTGGTTTCACTCGCCCTGCTCGACTCCTATTGGCGATAGCGTGTTGTTTATAGCCTAATAACTGGTCTGCCCGTGTTGCTTGATTCTGTTATTTGTGTATATTTATCACTTTACTCACATTTTTAAATAGTGAAAATTTGTATTTGTTCTTTTGTATTGTTTTTGTTTATATGTACGTACTACTGTGCGCTCTAAATTGTTTACTTTTGTATGAAATATTGTTTCTCAGTAAGCGAATTATGTATGTGATTCTTTATGAGAAATAAAGATATTCTAAACCAAATAATAACCATCCTCGATAAATGCGCTATCCAACACAAAAAGAATTATTCAAATCAGACTTGTAGTTACGGAGATTAGCGCGTTCAAACAAACAAACAAAAAAACAAACTCTTCCGCTTTATATAATAGTATAAGATAGTATAAGATACGATTTTAGTCGAGTTTTCACTATAGTTCTTTTATAACGTACCTTATTATCATCACGACGACTAGACCCGACGGCTCCAGCAGGTAATTCACAGAGCAAATGCCTTAACAACCTCGCTTTGGTCCGCAGTTCAGCGGTCAGTTGCTTAGAATGCTCTTCTAAGAAGTCACATCGCTCTGCGCGACGGGCGGCGGCGCGTTGCAAGGAGACTATACGCTCTATCAGTGTCTGGCGGTCTGGCTCGCGGACCTGCGATCAAATTGATATAATTTTAATATAGAAGATAGGTTTTTTTCTTAAGTGGGGAAAATCATTGAATGACTGCTCCCGCCTGGGTGAGGCGGAAGGGAATGTCAGACTCTTACTGACTTAAAACCACCCCGTTCCTTCTCCTGCACGTCGAGCCGGAGCCCCGGTTACCCGTTAGGTTCTCCGCGACTCCGAATCGGCATCGGCCCTATTGGGCCCCATTTGTGGTGGTCTGATGGCTCTTTGAGTACGTACGCTCGGGTCTGTTTCTGGTCGGACGAGGAGCCACCCATGCTCGCCGTCCGCAGGCCCGCGCTTACGGTGGCCGGAGATCGTCCCGCGAGAAGATAGGTTTAGACCACAATCACAAATATAAATTTTCAATATTCTATCAAAATACAGATTTGTGATTTCGGAAATTCTAATATTCTTTCAAAATAAAAATTTGTGATTTTGAAAATTACAATATTCTTTCTAAGTATTGATTTAAGATTTTGAAAATCACAATATTCTTTCTAAGTATTGATTTAAGATTTTGAAAATTACAATATTCTTTCTAAGTATTGATTTGAGATTTTGAAAATTACAATATTCTTTCTAAGTATTGATTTGAGATTTTGAAAATTACAATATTCTTTCTAAGTATTGATTTGAGATTTTGAAAATCACAATATTCTTTCTAAGTATTGATTTGAGATTTTGAAAATTACAATATTCTTTCTAAGTATTGATTTGAGATTTTGAAAATTACAATATTCTTTCTAAGTATTGATTTGAGATTTTGAAAATTACAATATTCTTTCTAAGTATTGATTTGAGATTTCGAAAATTACAATATTCTTTCTAAGTATTGATTTGAGATTTCGAAAATTACAATATTCCTTCAAAATTTGTGATTTCGGAAATTCTAATATTCTTTTAAAATATATATTTGTGATTTCGAAAATTCTAATATTCTTTTAAAATATAGATTTGTGATTTCGGAAATTCTAATATTCTTTTAAAATATAGATTTGTGATTTCGAAAATTCTAATATTCTTTTAAAATATAGATTTGTGATTTCGGAAATTCAAATGTTCTTTTAAAATATAGATTTGTGATTTCGAAAATTCTAATATTCTTTTAAAATATAGATTTGTGATTTCGGAAATTCAAATGTTCTTTTAAAATACAGATTTGTGATTTCGAAAATTCTAATATTCTTTTAAAATATAGATTTGTGATTTCGGAAATTCAAATGTTCTTTTAAAATATAGATTTGTGATTTCGAAAATTCTAATATTCTTTTAAAATATAGATTTTGATTTCGGAAATTCAAATGTTCTTTTAAAATATAGATTTGTGATTTCGAAAATTCTAATATTCTTTTAAAATATAGATTTGTGATTTCGGAAATTCAAATGTTCTTTTAAAATATAGATTTGTGATTTCGGAAATTCTAATATTCTTTCAAAATATCGATTTGAGATTTCGAAAATTCTAATATTCTTTTAAAATATAGATTTGTGATTTCGGAAATTCAAATGTTCTTTTAAAATATAGATTTGTGATTTCGAAAATCTAATATTCTTTAAAATATAGATTTGTGATTTCGGAAATTCAATGTTCTTTTAAAATATAGATTTGTGATTTCGAAAATTCTAATATTCTTTTAAAATATAGATTTGTGATTTCGGAAATTCAAATGTTCTTTTAAAATATAGATGTGTGATTTCGAAAATTCTAATATTCTTTTAAAATATAGATTTGTGATTTCGGAAATTCAATATTCTTTCAAATTATACATATGAGATGTCAAAAATTCCAATAGTACTGAGACTAAGCAAGTGAGAGTCTCGTTTACACCATGTATGAAGGTGGCAAAACAGGCGGTTAAACTAATATACTTTTTTATATCTACACTGAAATAATATTATAACTACACACAAACTAGTAAAATCAATGTAAAATAGACCCAATTCCTCTAACCTTAAGGAATAGTTTACTGAAGACACTTGGGTATTTTATCTGTGAAAGTAAAATCTTAATTTTTATACTAATTTATAATTCTAGCTACTCATGTGTGGATTCATTCGTTGCTCGACACCTACTAATCTATGAATTTTGTTTTTAGCATAACATAACATCACATCACGCCTTTTATTCCCGAAGAGGTAGGCAGAGGTGGACATTACGGCACTTAATGCCACTGTACAATGTAACACCCACTTTCCACTATTTATGTTATGAGTCCCATGTAATAGGGGGTGAGCCTATTGCCATATACCGGCACAATTCCAGACTCTGTGTAATGACTTTTTGAAAAAATCCAGTTATACTTTGCCCGACCCAGGAATCGAACCCAAGACTCCTCGCCGCACTTGCGACCACTCGGCCAATGACTATTATATGGGACTCATAACATAAATAGTGAAAAGTGAGTGTTACATTGTATAGTAGCATTAAGTGTCGTATTGTGTACCTCTGCCTACCCCTTTGGGGAAGAAAGGCGTGATGTTATGCTATTAATTTGTTAGTTTGTACCACATAAGCTTTGAAACTACCAGACCGAGTATTCCCAACTAGTCAAATTCAATACTGTTTCGCTGAACTGTCAAAAACGACAGTTTTCTATGAATTTTGTACGAGATTGCGTATTGTGACGTCACGATTTTTAGCGTCAAACAGCATAGTACTTATTTACTAATAATTTGCTGGAAAAATACTAAAATAAAGTAACTGTAAGTAATTCATACCGTATGCGTTTGTTCCTACGTTCAGCGTGAAAATAAAATATAAATCTTTTAATTATGAGTAACGCTATTGAATCGGGTACTTGCCAACTGGTCAAATTCAATACTTTTTTCGAATTGTCAAAAACGACAGTTTTCTATGAATTTTGTACGAGATTGTGTATTGTGACGTCACATTTTTTTAGCGTCAAAAAGCGTACTTATTTTTTTTAAATTTGCTGGAAAAATACTAAAATTAAGGTGGTCATAAAATCAGTTATTAATGAAAGTGTGATTATTTTGTAATATTTTATTGTATTGAATAGGCGAAATAGTTTATTTTTGATGAAGGAAAGTACCCAATTATCGGGGATTTTTAGACATGCTTTTGTTATCAATAACTGCCTCGTTGGCCGAGTGCTCGCAAGTGCGAATGCCGGACAATGGTGTCAGGATCGATTCCGGATCGGGCAAAGTATTACTGGTTTTAAAAAAAAATCTTAGTAGTAACATGGAGTCTGAAATTGTGCCCGGAATATGGTAATTGAGATTTTTATAAACCCAGTAGATCTTTGTCCGACCCGGGAATCGAACCCGAGACCATTGTCCGACAGTCGCACTTGCGACCACTCGGCCAACGAGGCAGTCGTTAGTTTATCTGAGAGAATATTCGCTCAATCCGGGAATCGAACCCGAATCTCTTTGTTAGACAGACGTTAAAGGTGCTCAGTAGTATATTTATATAAAATAATGAATTCGTTACCTGTATATCAGGCAATGCGTCGCTGTGCCCATTCTGCAGTCTGTCCTCGTGGGGGGCGCTCTCCCCACTACTTAGCGACGAAATCGAACCTGCACACAGTCACAATCAAAGTCAAAAATATATCACTAGAGTTAACACGCATAATACTTTGCTCAGCTAAGATATCGAACTTAAGCCTCTTGCTCGCAATTCAGTTAGGATTGGGATATGATAGAAGAAGATTTATAAAAAAATCCCAGTAATAATTTGCCTGACCCGGGAATCGAACCCAAGACTACTTGCGTCGCGTTCCGCGCGCGCCTCAAAGAGCCATCAGACCACCACAGATGGGGCCCAATAGGGCCGATGCCGATTCGGAGTCGCGGAGAACCTAACGGGTATAACCGGGGCTCCGGCTCGACGTGCAGGTGAAGGAACGGGGTGGTTTTTAGTCAGTAAGAGTCTGACACTCCCTCCCGCCTCACCCAGGCGGGAGCAGTCATTCGATGATATTCCCCACTTAAAAAAAACCACTTGCCCGGCAGTCGTACTTGCGACCACTCGGCCAACGAGGGTGTGGCGACACATGTCACACGTCAATAATATCCATGTAAACAAATTAACGGATGACGTCACAAAAATCCTACATAACACATGCGTGGGGCATTTCAGGTGAAGTGGAAAGGGAAAAAAGTGAGGTTTTGAAAATCGATCGTATCTATTTCGAAAGCTCTACGAAATCAGCCCACCAACAAGATGGGAGAGCCGACCTGACCTAGCAGAAGGCACCCGTTCACGAGTATGAATAGATATAAATAGATAATACCTAATTATTATATAACTACCTTTTACCCGCGGCTTCGCTCGCGTCACAAAAGGATAAATATTATACATGTAACTTTTAACTTTCTTTGTTTTTGTTGTATTGTTCATGTTTTGCTATCATTTGTGTTGTTGTTTTCTTCTTATCTTTACTTTTTTAAGTTTATTTTACTATTTTTTATTATATATAAATATCTGTATTTTTTATTTTTATTTGCTTCGTATTTGTGTGCCTATTCGTCAAATAAATGTTTTTTCTTCTTTCTTTCTTTCACATGTAGAATAGAAAACCAAATTATATGGGATTGACGTAAATTTTGACACTTGTCAGTGTCATCCCCATACATTTAGTTTTCTACTCCCTCTGTAGACAAGCGCTAAAGTGGCGTTTGGCTAAATGCATTGGACACCGTCTCGAAGGTATATAAGGCCCTGCTTTTACTACCTTCTGTCGTAGGTCATGGACGATCGACGTAGTACAAATCCTGTCTCTCTCTCTTCGAGAAGCACTCTCTGCTGCTGTTGCACTTGCCCCCCCCCCCTCCAGCCACGCGACGAACAGTTCGGCTTCAGGGCGGAACACTCCACCACCCTGCAAGTCGCGAGGGTACTGCACGACCTGGCGGCCGCGCGCAACAAGCGCGAGCGCGCCGCGGCAGTATTCCTCGACATGGAGAAGGCGTTCGACCGCGTCTGGCATGCCGGCCTGCTCAGCAAGCTGGCCACATCTACTACTCCTCGACGACTAGTTAAGATCGTGGCCACCTTCCTGCACGACAGAACCTTCCAAGTGGCAGTGGAAGGCACTCTGTCGACCGAGCGGAACATCCGTGCCGGCGTGCCCCAGGGAAGCTGCATCTCACCCGTGTGCTACTGCGTGTACACGGACGACATCCCCGTCGTGAACGGCGTCAAACTAGCGCTGTACGCCGACGACGCCGCCTACTACACGACGTCGCTGAACCCGAGGCACGCAGTAGTCAAACTACAGCGCGCCCTAGATGCACTCCCTGAATGGCTGGAGAAGTGGAGACTGGCTGTGAACGTGGCCAAGACCCAGGCGCTCGCCGTGGGGATCATGAAGCCGACACCCATGACGCTCATGGGAGAGCAGGTCCGGTGGGCGCCGAGCGTTAAATACCTCGGCGTGACCATCGACCGCTCGCTCTCAATGACGCCCCACGTGCAGCAGGCCACCGCTCAGGCGCGCGCCGCGCGTCACCTCCTGCGCCCGGTGATCGACTCGGCGCTACCTCTCGTGCGAAGCTCGGCATCTACAAGGCCTACATTCGGACACGGCTCACCTACGCCGCCCCGGCATGGTATGCGCTCGTGTCCGAAACCAACAAGAAACGCCTCCGTGCGCAGCAGTCACTGTCGCTGCGCACCATCGTACAGGCCCCGCGCTTCGTACGGAACGCGACAATCGCCCGAGACCTCGGCGTAGAGAGCGTCGACGCATTCGTGCAGCGCCTGAGCACCACACTCTTTGAGCGCTCCGATCGGTCGCGGCACGACCATCTCAGAGGACTGGCGCCCTACCACCGGCGCCCCCCTGACGGCCTCGGCCTCCCACGAGACCTGGTCGCACCGACCGGCCCATCGGACGCCGCGTGAGACTCCCGCCCGCCTGCTCTAGGCGGGTTGATAGAGACTCCGCCCCCACTGGACACGACCTATGCCCCGCCAACAGCTTGCTGCTCGCCGGGCTTGCCCGGCTAGAGCGCGGCTCATGGCGGGGCATACCACCGGACTCGACACCGCATCGGGCCCCGCAAGGTGCCCGACTAATCCAACCCCTCGCCTGCTGTAGCAGGCAGCGAGAGATGACCAGAGATGACCCGAAGACGAGCAGGCAGCGAGCGCATCCGCCGAGACAGGCATCGGCCTGGATCACGCGACCTCGCGCCCCCAGCCGGGGACGCAGATCTCTGCGTCATCATCTAGTCGGATCATCTGATCCGACTACAACTGTTGGGCAGAAAGCTCGCCAGGCACACCTCGCCTGGTCGGAGGATCCTCGTTTTCCGATCTTATCTTACTATACTCTCTGTTTTTGACTGGATTTTAGTGTTACATTGTTCTCGCACAATCCAAACAGCAAAACTATGTAACTAGAGCCTGATTGAAAGAGTAACCTATGGAGTTTCTTGCTCGTTCTTCTCCATCGGAATCTACGCCTTGGAATGAGCAAATAGCTTCACTTTTAATTTTATTATTAACGTTCAAAATTGCCTTTCTGGTCTAATTGAAATAAATGATTTTGACTTTGACTTTGTTTCCTAAACGGCAGTCAGTCTGTCGTCAGTGTTATGATCTAAAACCATTGAATCCTTACTTACTTATCCTTACTAATATTATAAATCGGAAAGTAAGTTTGTTTGTTTGTTTGTTTGTTCCACTTTAACACCGTAACTACTAAACCGATTGCTTTGAAATTTTGCAGACGTAAAGTTACAAGTCCGGATTAAATAATAGGGTACTTATATCCCTGAAAAATGTGATATTCCCGAGGGAAAACAAAAGTATTGGTATAGATGGCGCTGTATGTATGGTATATGTCACATTGGCTTTTTATCCTTTTGTGACGCGAGCGAAGCCGCGGGTAAAAGCTAGTAGTAATATAAAATTACCTGTCCTTGTATTTGGTGCTAATTGTTGAGGCAACTTAGCTTCCAGCTGCTCGCATCGCTTCACTGCCCGCTGTAGTTCACGGTTCAATTCCTGGAAATGTAATCACGCCGTGTATTGTAAGATGGTTAGACAGACTTATTATATTACGTGTACACATAAATTAATGTCGTGATAATAAATGAATGAATGACCTATAAATGCACACTGCTGACCAAAGGCCCCTTCTCACACGGAGAAGGTTTGAGCATTAATCACCACGTTTGCTCAATGCGGGTTGGCGATTTTAAACATAACATAACATCACGCATTTTATCCCCGAAGAAGTATGCAGAGGTGCACATTATGCCACTGTACAATGTAACATCCACTTTTCACTATTTATGTTACGAGTCCCATGTAATAGGGGGTAAGCTTATTGCCATATATCGGGCACAATTTCAGACTCCGTGCTACTACTGATATTTTTTTTAAAAACCCAGTAATATTTTGGCCGACCCGGGAATCGAACCCGAGACCCCTTGCCCGGCAGTCGTACTTGCGACCACTCAGTCAACGAGGCACCCCCTATTACATGGGACTCATAACATAAATAGTGAAAAGTGGGTGTTACTTCTGTGTGCACCTCTGCCTACCCCTTCGGAGATAAAAGGCGTGATGTTATGTTTTGTTGTTGGTAGGTTTGGAACCCTTAACCTCAACCTCCGGGCCTATTCAATGTTAATAAGCAAATATTTATAACTAGCGACCCGCCCCGGCTTCGCACGGGTGCAATATGTATATACATACAAACCTTCCTTAAGAATCACTCTATCTATAAAAAAAAACTGCATCAAAATCCGTTGCGTAATTTTAAAGATCTAAGCATACATACGGACATACAGCGAAAGCGACTTTGTTTTATACTATGTATTGATGATTATACAAACTTACTTTTATGGCACTAGCGTGTTTCTTCTTGAGTACATTATTCTCACCCTTCTCCCATTCCAGCTTCTTGTTCGCTTCAGACACCTCTTCTGTTAACTCCGCCACCTGTAAATGGGGGTTACAATATAATATCGTACCTCCGGTGCTATAACGTCACTTATGTATTGCGGGGGCCCAACTGAACAATGAAACGTTGCTTCTCCCAGTACCGTCCAGGTGGCTTACTCTTGAATCCAATTCCGATCGATCGACATTGGCATTGTGAAATGTCGTACTCTTGAGTTGTAACACTAGCGCCCATTGCATCCGTATTGCGTGGATATTGAATGAACTAAATGGTATTGAGTTTCTCTTTATATTCCGTACTCTGAATGCTATTGTAACAGCTACAATTGTGGTTGTATAGTGTTGAGATTGAATAATTATTGAGATTTTATTGGATTGAGATTGCATTGACATTGAGATTGGTTTCAAGAGTAAGCACCCAGATTAGCGCCAAAACCGTAACGACAGTAAAGCCCTCACGAGGACAGTTTGTGTACTACACAAATGACAATAACGCACCAAGTAAAGAGGTGAATTTGGAGTATTCTTTCATAATCAGTTAAGTTTTGACAAAAATTGATACATATGCATATACAGCATATACTTATATATATATAACATATACATATACTTATGCAAATACCACTATACCTATACTTATGTAACAGATATATATATCTGCTTAACTAAAAATCTCGGGTTAGTCAAGTGAAAATAATGAGAAAAGCTCAACTAGTTTCGAACCACAGAAGGGTTCGCGCAGCCTAGTCACATCGCCGCGCCCGCGCACGCTGCTGATGAGAAATAATGTCTAAACGTTCGTGAGACCTACTAAATTAATTATTATGTTTCGGCTTACTCGCGTAACTGTTTGTTCCCCGAACTGGATTAGACGAGGATCTCGACTAGTTTTAAGCCATGCTAGAGGCTCATATTAGAGGCTTAAATTAACCAGCTGCAGCTCTCGTTTGAAGTATTTTAAACTGATGAGTCTAGATAATCGCCGTAAAATCCTAGATCACCTCTTCCTGTACAAACTAATAAACAATCACATTGACTGTCCGCAGTCACTTAGCCAGATTAATGTGAATGTGCCCTTCAAACTGGCTCGAATGTCTAGATATCGGCTGCTTTCAGGTAAAGGCTTTAAAACAAGCCTGGGTCATTTTTCCTCAATTAATAGAATGCAAGAACAATTTAGTCGCCTGTCATGCTCACTTAGTGTGGATATTGACATGTCCTATTCTCTTTCTAAATTGAAAACTGTCCTGCTTAGGACATTCTCACAGAGTTAAACTGCACTATATGCACTACATGTTCAGATCAAAATCAAAATTGTACAGTTTAAAAATTAAAAAGAAGTAAAAACTTAAATTTAACAATTGTGATTGAAATTGATGTCTTTTTCTTTTTGATGAGCGAACTTTTTGTTTGTTTTGTTGTTGTAATATCCTGTTCTTTTATATTGCATGTCGTGGCAGCCTGTAATTAAGGCTACACTATAGAGTGTTAAAATATTATGTAAAAAAAACCTATCATGTATTTTGGTGTATGCTTTGTTGGTTGTCCTTAAATAAATAAATAAATAAATAAATATTCAGAATCACGGTAGAGGGCGTGTTGGGAACCACAGAGGAGTTCTTCCTCACGAGCAGCGTGCGCGGGCGCGGCGAGGTCGCGCTCCCTACTACTAACTACTCAGTGGTTCGAAACTAGTAGAGCTTTTCTCAGTATGTTCACGTGAGTAACTCACGATTTTTAGTTAATTTAATTTAGTATGTCTCACGATAGTTATTATAAAAAGATATAATATGACAATTGTAATATGCATATGGACTGCCTCGTTGGCCGACTGGTCGTAAGTGCGACTGCCGGGCAAGAGGTCTCGGGTTCGATTCCCGGGTCGGGCAAAGTATTACTGGGTTTTTAAATATTCTCAGTAGTAGCACGGAGTCTGGAATTGTGCCCGGTATATGGCAATAGGCTCACCCCCTAATACATGGGACTCATAACATAAATAGTGAAAAGTGGGTGTTACATTGTACAGTAGTATAATGTACACCTCTGCCTACCCCTTCGGGGATAAAAGGCGTGATGTTATGTTGTTTTTATGTTGTAATATGTGTGCAATAAATAAATAAATAAATAAATATCTGCATTTACATAAGTTCGAATATGAAGTACCATTTTTTCGCAGTAGAATTGCCCCACATTAGGGTTTTCTCCTGTGTCGTGGGTGCGTTTTACAAACATACAACTTCACATACACATGACACCCAGACCCGAAACAACAATTTGTGGATCACACAAAGTGTTGTTACGTGCGGGAATCGAACCCGCGACACGTTGCACGGCAGCCGGTTGCCCAGCCACCGCACTAACCGTGTGGTTAAAGTGTAGTATTGCAACTTAAGAGTATTAAATTTCACAATACCAATGGCGATCAATCGGAATTGGATTCAAGAGTAAGTTCCCTGGTGATCCGTCTGCTCGTTAACCGGCTTATGCCATAAAAAACCCTAAGTACTATACCTTCCTGGCCAGCACCCTGTTCTCCTTGTTCCTCCTGTCCGTTTCGTCAGTGAGTGCCGCCTGTAGCCTAGCGCCCTCTGTCTGTAGGGAGGTCACTTGCTCCCGGAGCGACACGTTGTCTGCGGCGAGAGCCCGCGCCTGGAGTATCGTAGAGATTTCAATTATTATTAAAATTCAAAAGTTATTTATCACTAGCTTTTACCCGCGGCTTCGCTCGCGTTACAAAAGGATAAAAAGTAGCCTATGTGACATATACCAAAACCCACAGCGCCATCTATACCAATACTTTTGTTTTCCCTCGGGAAAATCAAATTTTTTCCGGGATAAAAAGTACCCTGTTATTTAATCCAGACTTATAACTTTACGTCTGCAAAAATTCAATGCAATCGGTTTAGTAGTTACGGCGTGAAAGCGGAACAAACAAACTCACTTTCCGATTTATAATATTAGTAAGGATTTATTTCTAACACAGACTGCCTCGTTGGCTGAGTGGTTGCAAGTGCGACTGCCGGGCAAGGGGTATCGGGTTCGATTCTCGGGTCGGGCAAAGTATTACTGGGTTTAAAAAATATATCAATAGTAGCACGGAGTCTGGAATTGTGTCCGGTATATGGCAATAGGCTCACACCCTACTACATGGGAGTACATTGGGTGTTACATTGTACGGTGGTATAATGTGCACCTCTACTTACCCCTTCGGGGATAAAAGGCGTGATGTTATGTTATTTATCCTCCCGCCTGATCCAGGCGGGAGAAGTCATTGGATGATTTTAGCCCCTCAAAAAAAAAAAAAGACTCCGTGTTACTGTTGAGTTTTTTTTTTCAAAAACCCAATAATAATTTTGCAGACCCGGGTATCGAACCCGAGACCCCATTTCCGGGCAGTCGCACTAGCGACCACTCGGCCAATGAGGCAGTATAGATATAATAAAAAGTAAAGCATACATTACACACATTAATTTGTTTGTTTGTACCACATTACGCTTTGACACTACGAGACCGATTATTCTTATAATTCGGTACTTGCCAACTAGTCAAATTCAATTTGGTTTTTGTTCAAAAACCTATACTCGGAATTTTAAACTGTCAAACACCAAGCGGTCACCGGTGACCGCAACCTATTGTTCTTTAATTGTGTCTATAAATACGGTACTCGACGAGTTAATTCGATTCCAGATTTGACAATTTCAGTGTTGCAACGTTATGACAAATGACAAGTACTAAATAGTGACGATGCGAAATTATTCGATATGGAAATGGAATATTTCTGGATCGATTCTTCTCGTCTATAATTTTATTCTCGTAAACTAAGTTTATCAGGAAATTAAATATTTCTGAACCGATAATTTAGTTTTGACGGTTAATTAACGATCTGAGACTTTTTTTTATAATTGTGTGTGAAATAAATAAAAAAAAAATGTAACCATGAAGGAATATGACAAATAAAACAGATAGATGTATTATGGTTATAAGTTATTTTATAAATTGTCGCCGTCATCGCTATCGCTATCCTGTCACTTTCTGTAACATTTATTATAAAACACACACACTGATTGTTTATCGATTTTTGTGTTCATCACTACACTATTATATGTGGTATCAATATTTCACAAAATGACAGTAGCCAATGTCAAATCTGGAATCGAATTGAAATTCTGACTATAGTAATACTTTGTTCGACTCGGAAATCGAACCCGAGTCCCCATTGCCCGGCAGTGGCACTTGCGAGCAGTGTATAAATAAGTGAGTGGCGCACCTCCGCGTCGCTGCGGGCGTGCGCGGCGGAGAGCGCGACGTGCGCGGCGGTGAGCGAGGCGGCGTGGTGCAGCGCGGCTGCCTCGCGGCGGCCGCACGTCTCCGCCACGCCGCGCTCCACCGCCAGCGCCTCCTCCGCCTGCGTCGCGCGACACGACTCCCTGCGGAACCGACACACATCTTGACTGCACGGCTGGGGCGGTGCTTGGGCAACCGGCCCCCGTACAACGTGTCGCGGGTGTTACGCTAGTGCAATTAGGTACACCGCTGACGAAGCACACCCTCAATAATTTATAGATTTAGAAGAAAGAAAGAAAGAAAAATCATTTATTTGGCAATTACACGCACAGAAAACAAAGAATATAAAATTATAAAAATACATATACATACATAACATCACGCCTTTTTATCCCCGAAGGGGTAGGCAGAGGTGCACATTATACCACTGTACAATGTAACACCCACTTTTCACTATTTATGTTATGAGTCCCATGTAATAGGGGGTGAGCCTATTGCCATATACCGGGCACAATTCCAGACTCCGTGCTACTACTGAGAATATTTAAAAAACCCAGTAATACTTTGCCCGACCCGGGAATCGAACCCGAGACCCCTTGTCCGGCAGTCGCACTTACGACCACTCGGCCAACGAGGCAGTCGTCGTAAAAATACATATATATAAACAAAATACTAATAATAAACTTACAAGAATAGAGATCAGAACAGACAATATATCAAAACATCACAATATAACAAAATAATAATATGATAATAACAGAATTTTGAATAGACAATAAAAAAAAATCTAATAAACAAAATAATAATATTAATTTTAATTTGCGCGTGCTAATGCCAAAAGGCAGTTTATAATCAGTTAAGTGCACAAATTCGAGACACGAGGCATATTCACCAAATTAGCAAAACGCCAGGAAGGCCAGCACATCGGTGCAGTTTAAGTACACCGCTGACAAAGCATAGCCTCAATAAATTGTAATACATAAATTAATTGCGCAAATTCAAGGTACTAAGCAAAGGCGCCGAATCAGCAACACGCCATGAAGGCCAGCGCATCGCGCTCGAAAGGCGACACTACTGATACAGCATCGATCGAAGCAATAGGTTTAGCTAGTTCTTAAGACTTTATGTAATAAGTTTTACTTCGAATAAACCCTTTTTTTATCTTAATTTGAGTTTAATTATATCCTCCGGCGGCAGCCTTCGTAATTCGGATTCGATTCCCGCACGGAACAACACTTTGTGTGATCCACAAATTTTTGTTCCGGGTCTGGGTGTGATGTGTATGTGAACTTGTATGTTTGTAAACGCACACACGACACAGGAGAAAATCGTAAAGTGGGGCACGTTAAAAAAAAATATATCAACCGACGCACAACAACAATGTTACTCAAAGGTTAGTTAATATTATTAACTTATTTTAACTTTACTTTTTGTTTAAATAGTGAAAAGTGAGTGTTACATTATACAGTGGTGTTAAGTGCCGTAATGTGTGTTACCTCTTAGGGGATAAAAGGCGTGATGTTATGTTATGTATGTATATAAGAACATTGTTTACCTTTCTAGCTGTGCGCTGAGTGTATCGGCTAGGGCTGCTTTAGCTCGTAGCGCCGCTAACTCCGCCGCCTCTTCTTCCAAACGCAGATTACTCTCTTTTAATTCTTCTACCTGTATTAAACAAGTGTATATTTAAGTGTGGGAGAGCCATGCTCCGGCACGAATGGGCCGGCTCGACCGGAGTGATACCACGGCCGAGCAGAAAACCGACGTGAAGCAACGCTTGCGTTGTGTTTCGTCGTGTGAGTGAGGTTACCGGAGGCCCAATTGCACTCCTCTCCCCAATCTCCCCAATCCCTGAATCCCCAACAATCCTCAAACTCCTAATCTCTGGTGTTCCGGGTGTCCATGGGCGACGCCGATTGCTTACCATCAGGTGATCCGTCTGCTCGTTTACCGGCTTATGACATAAAAAAAAACAAATATGAAAAATGACTGCACGGTTGGTGCGGTGGCTGGGCAACCGGCTGCCGCGCAACGTGTCGCGGTTTCGATTCCGCACGGAGCAACTCTTTGTGCGATCCACAGATTGTTGTTCCGGGTCTGAGTGTCATGTGAATGACCTAGTATGTTTGTAAACGCACCCACGACACTGGAGAAAACCTCTAATGTAGGGCAACGTTTTAATATCAAAATAATAATAATAAAGAATAAGTTTTTGTAGAAAACAGATGGTGAAACCAGCTATGATACGTATTTACGAAAACGAAATCTTAAAGAATGTTATAGTAATGGCCGTTTTCACTCTAAAGCACCTCTTAACTAAAGTAGCTTAGCGTTAGGGAGCACTTAAAGTAACCTCTTTCTTGAAGTTACGTTTAAGTGTCACTTACGTCCAGTTTCTATAACCTATCTATCTGTAGATTTGCTTACTAGAGATAGAATGTTGACACATTTTGTATGGAGCTCATGTCAAAATCCTATCTCTAGTAAGCAAATCTACAGATAGATAGGTTATAGAAACTGGACATTATAGGTTGGGAAAATCAAAGTATGTTTAAATGTCACTTAACTTCATCAACGTTTAGGAAAAGTGAATATTTGAGTTCTAGTAAAATACTCAAATAATACATTGTGGAATCTATTTCGTTTTCGTCCCGAAGTAAAATGGTTCTGTCTCGGTAATACAATAGTTTTACAAAGAAATAAAATGTTTAAAACAAAAACTAACTGGTGAACCATTCATCATCATCATCAACAGCCTATAAATGCCCACTGCTGAGCAAAGCCTCTTCTCACACGGAGAAGGTTTGAGCATTAATCACCACGCTTGCTCAATGCGGGTTGGCGATTTCAAACTTATAATTAGAAATTATAAGTTCAGGTTTCCTCACGATGTGTTTCCTTCACCGTTTGTCAGTGGTGTCTAGATAATCTTAGAAAGTACATATAACTCGGAAAAAGTCACATTGGTACTTGCCGTTGGTAGGTTTCGAACCCGCACCCTCATGCATGAGAAGTGGGCGTCTTAATCCTCCGGGCCACCACGACATACATGATGAACCATTGCAAAAAGGAAACTTCGAAAGAACATACGAACTCATAGTACATTAAATTATTATGTTTTCGGCTTACTCACATAATGATTTGACGAGGAACTTGATTAGTTTCAAGCAAGCTAGCTTAGTTCTGCTAGTAGCAGCGCGACAGTCGCCGCGTCGCGGGTCGCGAAATGCTGCTCATGAATATGAGCCTGTTTTTTAGTACCGAAGTAAAATTGACCTACTGTAGCTACTAATAGGGGTTAAATTGAAACTCCGTAATTAGTGCTTGAACTGCTGGTTAATAATTATATTCGTTTTGGTGCTAACTTACATCTCGTTGTACATACAAAAAATGACCATCTTAAGCAAATCGATGTAACGAAACCATAGCTTGCATTAAATCGCGGCAACGCCATCTAGTTATAAAAATTGAACTAAATTAATGAATATGTATTTTATGGTTTCGTTACTTTGGTCTTGAGTTTTGGTCATGAACAGAGCCTCTATGGATGGCTTGAAACTAGTCGAGTTCCTCGTCATATAATCACGTGAGTAAGCCGAAAACATAATAATTTATTTAGTATGTCTTACGAAAGTTACAATACAAATCATAGTACATTATCAAAACATCACGCCGTGTAATTCTCGAAGAGGTATTTCTCGTCGGGTGGCGCGTGTGATGCGAACAGTGCGTACAAAATTACGTCTAGTGTTTCCTGTGCGTATTTCCATTGAAATAATTATTTACTAAAAAACGACATCTTTATCTTTTGTTTTTACTTTATACATCGAGAGTACTCCTTATGGCAAGTTGATTTGCCGATGGACGAAAACTAAATAGATTTCAAGGTATATACATGATGACGTCACTAACCTCAGCGCTAGTGCGAGCGAGCGCGGCAGTAGCGTTGTCTCTTTCCTTCACACAAGTCTCCAACTGTTGCGTCATTGATGTCAGCTTGCGATCTAGTTCGTCTCGTTCATGGCGACACAGTATTAACGCTGCTTGACTCTCTTTTAGCTCTGATTCTGTGGGGAGAATAGGATTTTAATTTCATATATTTATTTAAACATAACATCACATAACATCACGCCTTTTTATTCCCAAAGGGGTAGGCAGAGGTGCACATTATGCCACTGTACAATGTAACACCCACTTTTCACTATTTATGTTATGAGTCCCATGTAACAGGGGGTGAGCCTATATACCGGGCACAATTCCAGACTCCGTGCTACTACTAAGATTTTTTTTTAAAAACCCAGTAATACTTTGCCCTCCCGGGAATCGAACCCGAGACCCCTTGCCTGGCAGTTGCACATGCGACCACTTGGCCAACGAGGCAGTATTTATTTAAAATCCTCTATAAATTACATTTTTAAATACTACTTACAAAATAAAAAAATTTATTTAAAAATATAAAAAATAGGAGCCGACCAGTAGCGGGAGCATGGTCCAAGCTACCGGTGGTTAGGGCTCCAGAGACAGAAACCTCCTCACGATACGTGCCGTTTCTAGGAGAACTGCCTTCTGTATCAGGCCCTTGATCCATCCACCTAACGCCAGCCTCCTGAGATGGATGTCGAGGCTTTTAGGGATTAACCTATTGGCCGATACGACTATCGGCACAATGATAGCCGAGTTCACATTATATATTAATCTCTGCCACCGACGTCGCTCGCGTTCAAGTGGGATAAAAGTCAAATGTCCAAATACTGCACGGACCTGCGGACGCCGAGCATGAGTAGCTCGCCGCCCGACCAGGGTGCTTACTCTCGAAACCAATCTCAATGTCAATGCAATTCCAATACAATAAAATCTCAATAATTATTCAATATCAAAACTATACAACACCTATCGTAGCTGTTAAAATAGCATTCAGAGTACGGAATATAAAGCCAAACTCAATACCATTTAGTTCATTCAATATCCACGCAATACGGATGCAATGGGCGCTAGTGTTGCAACTCAAGAGTACGAAAGTTCACAATACCAATGTCGATCGATCGGAATTGGATTCAAGAGTAAGCCCCCAGATAGCTTCGTTTTATGTAACATTTCGTTTGGTGATTGCTGAATTGTCTTTGCTATAAACCTTACGAAACCCGAGACCTTTCAAACGAATGCAAAACCGTGGAAATCGGTTGGTGCGTTCTGGAGTTATAGCGTCAGAAAGGAAAATCCGACTTATTTTTATATTTTAAATCGTACCTAATTGTTTAGCCTTAGCAGAGTCGGTGGCGTTGGCGGTGGCAGTCTCCCGCGCGGCTTCCAGTTCCGTCACCTGCTGAGCGAGCTTCTCCGACTTTTCTAATGTCTCCTGCAAATACAATTTTACAACATTTTTAACATAACATAACATCACGCCTTTTATCCCCGATAAGGTCGGCCGAGGTGTACATTGCGGCACTTAATGCCACTGTACAATGTAACACCCACTTTTCATGTACTATGATGAGTTCGTATGCGCTTTCGAAGTTTTTTGTTTTAAACATTTTATTTCTTTGTAAAACTATTACTATTGTATTACGAAAACCATAAACCATATTACTTCGGGACGAAAACGAAATAGATTTCCCGGATTGCGAAGAAGAAACTACCTCAAGTCCGGCAGTGACATCTTTTCGCAATCGACCCTCACGACAGCATATACATCCCCATCATATTAATGGTTGGCAGTGAACTGTCAGACTGTCACTCGCTATTACTAAACAGAGGGTTCCAGGTACCTTATAAGCATCCATTTCGACCCTCAACTTGCTCTGCGTCCACTTAAGCCGTCCGTCCAGTTCGCGCATATCTTCCCTGACTTTGGCCAGCTCTCGTTCGCTGGTCATCAGCTCGTGGCACTGAAAATACAATCAAATTCACATCAAACCAATTTATTTGCCGAACAAAGGTGTAGTACATGACCATCGCGGGACGATCTTCGGCCACCGTAAGCGCGGGCCTGCGGGCGACGAGCATTGGTGGCTCCCCGTCCGACCAGAAACAGACCCGTCCGACCAGAAAGAACCATCAGACCCATTAGGGCCGATGCCGGTTCGGAGTCGCGGAGAACCTAACGGGTAACCGGGGCTCCGGTTCGACGTGCAGGAGAAGGAACGGAGTGGTTTTTAGTCAGTAAGAGTCTGACTCTCCCTCCTGCCTCACCCAGGCGGGAGCAGTCATTCGATTATTTTCCTCACTTAAAAAAAAAGTACATGACCATGATAACACGGAGTAAACGGAAACGCTAACAAAAATAATTATTTTTACAATTTTAATCGTTTTCGTGTCATTGATGCAACATCAGCCTTGAGCAGATAAATAGATAATAGGGTAGATTCCTAATTTTTATTTTAATGTCCGTCTGATAGATTATTTTAAATCATTAGACACGTACCTATTTTTTATTTTCTTACAGTAACGAATACTTTCGACGATATATTGATTTGAAATGTCGCGTGACGTCACTTCTATGTACATTTTATACTTACGTAGAACTGACGTTTTAGCTCCCACTGCTAAACTTTGATTCGTTAATTATCATTTTATTATACAACAAAATAAAAAAAATACGTGTTTAATATTTTTTCATTACCTAACTTACGGACTAATCACATTTTTAATTTTCATACCCTGTCATCATCCCAATTTTAAGACGTTCTCATGAATAATTATGTCACTACGAATTGTTTGAAAAATGACAGAGACAGCACGATATTTAAGCACAACTTAAAATTGAGAAGCATTTCAGTATTTGGACATCAGAATAGAGTCGGCGGCCATGGCCTCACAGAAAACCGACGTGAAGCAACGCTTGCGTTGTGTTTCGTCGTGTGAGTGAGGTTACCAGAGGCCCAACTACCTTCCCCTTCCCCAATCTCCCCAATCCCTGAATCCCCAACGATCCTCAAACTCCTAATCCCCAAAAAGCCGGTGACGCACTTGTAACGCCTCTGGTGTTCCAGGTGTCCATGGGCGACGCCGATTGCTTACCATCAGGTGATCCGTCTGCTCGTTTACCAGCTTATGCCATAAAAAAACGAATAGTTTTTATCCCAGAAATCCCACGGGTACGGGAACAATGCTGTTTCATAATTACAGCTTTCTTTCAATCCATACCTTATCATCATACAGCTGACAGATTCTATGTTTCTCAGCAGCAGCAGACTTGAGCTTGCCGTTAAGCAGTTCCACTTCAGCCTGAGCAGCCTTCTCGGCCTTGGCAGCGTTTTCAGCCGACCTCTTAGCCTCAATGGCCGCGCATTCGACGCTGGCATACCTCATCACGGCTGCATCCTTCTCCCTTTCAGCGTGATCCACGCGTTTCCCCATCTGGAAAATACAAATCAATCTATCCTATATCTAGTACTTATAAAACTGAAGAATTTGTTTGTTTGAACGTAGGAACCTCCAGAACTGGTTCGAATTAAATAATTATTTTTAAGCTAAGGATACAGTTGGATAATTCCCCCCCCTTAAAAAATCCTCCTAACTATCACAACATTCAAACCAATCATAAAAACGCTCAGTTACAATGTGAAAGAATGCAAAACAAATACTTGCACATTTATTAATATTAGTTTTGATAAAGACTGAGAGATGTTAACACATGCATACAACAATACAATATCGTACTGTCTAACCGTGCGGTTTCATCCGCTGCTTTAAGGTCATCAGATACTTAACAAGCACGGCTTCGGCACGTCTTAGGGTCAATTTATACTAGGGCAGAGTCGAAGCGCACCGAAGCGTCAAATTCTTCACAACTAGAGCGAAGCCGCACGGACGCGCGCGTATTCGAGATGATACGCGCGCACTCTTTGACGAGTAGTAGGTAATGGGCATTAGCTGCATGAATTATATAGGCATTCATATTTTTGAACCCATAAATTAATTTTTCGTCCGAATCCATTCGCTAGTGTGCGCGTGGATACGCGAGAATGCGCGCGCACCAATCAGCGTTGGTCACGCGCAGACGTGCGAATAACGAAGAAAGCGCGCGTCTTTTTAAAGTTTTAGAAGCAATGTGTGCGTTATGCTGTTGGGTTAAGGTTGAATTTGCTATGTTCAGTTTTGAATAGACGCTTCGATGCGCTTCGACTCTGTCCTAGTATAAATTGACCCTTAAGCATGGATCCGGCACGGTGTTTTTTGCTTTGGAGACAATATAAAAAGGTTGTAAGCGCGCGATAAGCACGCGTGTGGAGCATTCAGCTTAGTAGCAGTATAGATTGCCTTGTTGGTCGCAAGTGCTACTGCTGTATTCAGCTCAGGAACAGAAAGTTTAGATACCGACTGAGAAAATTATTACTGCCTTTTTAGTTACAAAATTCTGAAGCTTATATTTTTTACTGTTTTTATTACATTAACTTTAACTAAGCTCCTCTGCCTACGCCAAACCCGTTTAAAAATAAAAAGGCATAATAACATTTTACATTATTTTTGACCTTCGTTGAGAGCTTCCATTTCAATTCAGAAGCACAATAGTGTCATACACTAGTATCAATACTACGTTATCAATAATGCCATTTAGATAAAAGCTTGCTACAGGCTTAAATGGGTAAAAATAAATATTTACTACCGCGCTGTTTCACTCTGCTCGGCGCCCTATTAACTGTTGCGTGATTTACACAACCACACCATTTGTCCCTGAAGGGGTAGGCAGACATGCACATTACGGCACTTAATGCCACTGTACAATGTAACAACCACTTTTCACTATATTTATGTTATGAGTCTCATGTAATCTGGGGTGAGCGTATTGGCATATACCGGGCACAATTCCAGACTCCGTGCTACTATTGACATTTTTTTCCACTTGCGACCAATCGGCCAACAATGCAGCTATAAATCCTTATAGCCTTCCTCGATAAAATGACTATACAACACAAAAAGATTTTTTAAAATCGGATCAAGAAATCCGGAGATCAGTGCATTCAAACCAACAGATCAGTTTTATAAGATACTAGCTTTTACCCGCGGCTTCGCTCGCGTCACAAAAAGATAAAACGTAGCCTATGTGACTACCCATCCCTTCAACTACCTTCAGTTGAAAAATCACGTTAAGTACCTCCGTTTTGCCGTTTAAGACAGGCAAACAAACAAACAGCTATTCCATAGTATAAAGAAGTTCTTTATACTGAAGTTCTTTATACTATGGCTATTCGCTTGCGTGGAATTCGGTTATAACGCGCGTTTTAGATTTTTCCGTGGGAATGAGAAGTTCTGCCGCGGTAAAGCCTTGCTTTTCCAGGACTCAAACTACCTTTATACCAAAATCGATTCAGCCGCGTGAAAGAACAGAAGAAGTTATTTTCGCATTACCACAAATACCTCCTCCCATTTTAATTTAAAAGACTTCTATTTCCTATAAGGGTTATATTTGCAATGCTAAACCAAAACTGAGTGGTAAACTATATTATACGTTTTATTATCGAAAACCTAACTACTTTAGACATCTACTTAGAAATAAACCACTTCACTAATCTAACCTAACTAATATAGCTACTGTATCAATCAACGTAAACAATGAAATGAACAAAGCGTCTTAGAACGAAAAAAATTACTATAGTTCTTTAAATATATACCTAGAAATAATAATTCTTGACTAATCAAACCTACAAAGCGAACAAATAATAATCAATATAAGCGCTAGATGCGTACCCTAAAATATAGTTGATACTTAATACGGAAGCTCGGAACCTATACTTTCGCCGGTAACGTAACCATAGCGCCATCTAACTCGATCCTAACGCCATCTATCGAGCGTTGAAACAACAGCGTACAATATATTTGCTAATTGTTGAGTATTGTTGCCACTATGGTTTCGTGTACCTTTAACAATCTAAAATCTATAAAATACGCAACTTAATGTAAAATGGTTGGAAACAAAATTTAAAAGCGAAGAATACTTAAAAAACAGCGCTATTCCGTTTTATAAACACTCAGCGCCATCTATCGCCAAGTAGCATAACTACCACATAGACACCAATTTCGTGTACCTTTAACAACCTAAAATCTATAAAATACCCAATTCAATGTAAAATGGTAGGAATCAAAATTTAAAACCGATAAAAATACTTAAAAAACAACGTTACCCCGTTGAATATATAATAATAAACACTCAGCGCCATCTATCACCAAGTAGCCTAACTACTACATAGTCACCAATTTTGTGTACCTTTAACAACCTAAAATCTATAAAATACGCAATTTAATGTAAAATGGTTAGAACCAAAATTTAAAAGCGAAAAATACTTAAAAAATAGCGTAACTACTACATAGACACCAATTTCATGTACCTTTAACAACCTAAAATCTATAAAATACACAATTCAATGTAGGTAAAATGGTAGGAACCAAAATTTAAAAGCGATAAAAGTACTTTAAAAGCACAACGCTACCCTGTTTTATAAACACTCAGCGCCATCTATCGCCAAGTAGCGTAATTACTACACAACGTTACCACGTTGTGTTTTTTAAGTATTTTTACATAAAAAATAGCAAATAAATGAGTCGAAAAGCGCACTCAATAAGTGTAGATTAACACCAAATAAGCGCTATAGATTAAAGCGTGAAATTTCCAATTAGTAGGTAATTCGTTGAATTGTTTTAGATAGCACAAAGCGCCATCTACAGGAATACACACAGCGCCATCTATACTAATATTTTTGTTTTCCCTCGGGAATATCACATTTTTCCGGGATAAAAAGTACCCTATTATTTAATCTGGACTTCTAACTTTACGTCTGCAAAATTTCAAAGCAATCGGTTTAGTAGTTACGGCGTGAAGGTGGAACAAACAAACAAACAAACAAACTCACTTTCAGATTTATAATATTATATATAAATATAATATATATATATATATAAATATATAATATATATAATATATATATAATATATATATAAGTAAGGATAAGGATAGTAAGGATAGAGAACCTTGTTTGAGACCTTGAATTTAAATTTAGTAGCAAAATACATTTCATAATTGTCATATACTAACTCGTGGGTTAAGAACTAAAGTAGCGTAAGGGCAAAAATTCAAAAAAATTTTTTTTTCGCCATTCAGTTTTTTAATTCCTATATTTTTATGTGCCAATAAACTGGAACGATGTAGTGAGTAGATTGCTTAGTACAACAATAACGTATAGAAAAAAAAGTTATTTGTTTATTGCCAAAATGAAGTGTTTCTACTTACAATAATCTTGACACAATTTTGTCAAAAAAATTACGAGCATAACAATCGTAACTCGATTTACAGAGCGAATAGGACACTAAATATGGCGTTAATATAATCGCGCAAATAACGTATATTGTCATACGTTATTATCATAGACAGTTTTATTATGTAGCCTTAGTTCGTATCGTGCTAAATAAACGTAAAGTACCGTTACTGCTTATGGGTCTTTGTTTCGCAAGTTCCTATCATTTTTATTCCTGCCAGAAAAACGTAAGGGTGGGATGCGCTGTTACGGCACTAAATAAATTAAATAATACAAGCAGTTTTTATGTCAATAATAACGTAAAAGCTATATACGTTTCTTTAGCACGTAATAAATCGCTTTTGGTCTAATTTACTTTCGCGTCTTATACTACTGTACGTTATTTTGACCCTAAAAACTTTAGGTTAAGATATAGGGGGCGGCTGGTTCCGGTTCATACAATCTTTTTTTTTAAACGTTGCCCCACGATAGGATTTTCTCCTGTGTCGTGGGTGCGTTTACAAACATACATTGTTCATATACATTGTATGTACCCAACGACACCCAAACCCGAAACAACAATTTGTGGATCACACAAAGTGTTGTTCCGTGCGGGAATCGAACCCGCGACACGTTGCACGGCAGCCGGTTGCCCAACCACACCGCACCAACCGTGCAGTCATGAAAACAATGAAACTCCGGAAAGTGCTACACAGTACGACAAAGACCACATTAGTTCTTTTCCGCGCATACCAGCACATTAGAAAAGATACCAAAAAAGAGTACCTTGACCAAGACCTTATTGTCACGAAGATTTATGAACTATAATGTTCATAAGTGCATGGAAGATGAAGATGAGGTAGAACCTGTTAAAATAAACATGTATCGGGATATTCTATAAAAAGATTTAAATATTGGCTTACATAAGCTACGGACAGATATGTGCGATGAATGGTTTGCATATGATAATATGAATGATGAAGAGAAATAAGCTAAAAAAAGGGAACAAGAAGCTTATTTAAAGGGAAAAGTTCAAGCCCGTGACTCCTCTGGTATTGCAGGTGTCCATGGGCGGCGCTGATCGCTTACCATTAGGTGATCCGTCTGCTCGTTTGCCTAATATTCCATAAAAAAAGCGAGAAGAGATAGACATGAGGCTATAAAACTTGTTCTGGATGATGAAATTTATTCCGCTGAATATAACATGCAAGCTATTTGCCTTATTCCTACCACATCTTTCAAAAAAAATAATAATTTTATAAACGAAGGCTGCCTGTATAAGCTTACAGTGGTCCCGTATCTATATTAGCAATTAAGTAAGTACAACAATGTGCTAGAGCGGTGTCGATCTGGAGATGTTCCTTCAACATATCATAATTTTTACAGCCACTTGCAGGTCGACCACGAATTATGGCATGCTAAATGGAGAATGTTGCTGCTCAAATTATTTTATAATAACTACTATAACATCTACACTTGACCTATATTCACAATAAATGATTCGAATTTGAATTATTATTTTTAACCGACTTCAAAAAAAGAAGGAAGTTCTCAGTTTACCTTGTATATGTAATATGTATGTATGTTTGTGCGCGACTATCTTGCGATTAGCTAAACCAATTTTCAGAAAAGTGACACTTCGGAGAAGGTTAGAGTTATATTAATCGACTGCAAAAATAGAGGGAGTTGAAGTCGGTTTTTTAAACGTAGTTTATACAAGAATTATTTATCGATTAAATTTTAAAGGAATCCACGATGAATTATTAGTTTTATTAGATTTATGTTATTATTTTAAAGCCATTTTATCGAAAGTTCTGTTGCATTCCATACATTATTGAATTTATATTACAGCAAAAATGACGTATGTCAACCAATTTTTGAAAATTGTGTTTTATTAAAATGACCCCGTTTTTTAATTGACCAAAAAGTTACACTATTCTGTAGCCGATAAATAAAGCTTTATTATTCGTAAAAATCAAATCTCTAACTCCTATAGATTTTGCTATAAAAGAGCTATAAGACTACGGTAGGTAAATTTGAGTTGTTTTTCGGCTCTCCTGAGAAGTTGTCATTTTGCCCTTACGCTTCTCTAGTTCTTAACCCACGAACTATTATAACATTATCAGTAAAGCCACTTAGATAAATGCTTACTACAGTAAATGGACAAAAATAAATATTTAATATTTTGTCTGCAAATACAACCAGCTAACAGGGCCACATTTCTGTGTAGTGCCAAGAAATCCACCCTATAATTACAGTTCTCTCCAATCAACTTCCTCCCTCCCTCCCCACTCCCTCCTAACAAATTTTTCTCTCAAATTAATTAAGTGCTTGTCCAAATTTACTAAAGAAAATAGTATTAAAATATAATGGTGTGTATTCATGTAAATATTGTGTGTTATGATTGTTTCTATTTAATTATTTATCTGGTGTTAGGTAATAATATTATAATTTTCGGTCTATTGACGGTATATGTTTACTAACCCAATTGTTTTTGTCCCTTCCAGTTACTAACAACTACCAGAAAGTTAAAGTTCGACGGTGCATTAACTGCCGTCAGCACTCGACACTGGCAGTATAGTCGACAACATCGTATTGGAGACTCGGATGCCAAAGAAAAAAAAAAAATTACAGTTCTCCTTTTGTATAGACAAAACTTACAAACTGACAAACACACATTTTAACTTAATAAAAGTTTTCACTCACCATATCCAGTTTAACCTCCAATTCCTTAAACGTCATATCTTTTTGCTGCAGTTCATCGCATTGCTGTTTCACTCTCTCTCGTAATGACACATTCTCCTTTCTCTGTTCAGCTAGAAGTCTTTCCAAAGACTCTATTTGTAGCCGCAAAACGTCTTTCTTTGCATCGGTAGAGTCCGAACTATCTGAATCCATTGATTTTAGTACCGAGTCTATGTTAGAATTAGAATTTGGTATATTTTCTTTGCAATCCATAGTGTCCGGTTTTTCTATGACATCAGTTTTTAAGTCTGTATTCTCATCTTCAAATATATCATTCATTAGTTTACCATTGGGCAAATTTTTGGTGGATTTTGCTGGTTTCTGGGCATAGGCTGTTCGGTGTGTGTACGCACTCTTTAAGCTGCCACTTACCGATGAGAATATTCCATGTACATTCTTGACTATGCTACCAATGTCCTGTGATAGTAGTTCCTTCGGTATCCTTGAGTACTTCGGATCTACATTAGTTACAGTTTCCGGAATTTTCTGTACAGCACTAGCTTTAGTTTTTTGGCTGGAGAATTGTGAAAGGATTTTATCTGCATTTAATTCTTTGTCGCTATTATTAAGACTAGTATTTTCATTCTGTTTGTCAAAAGTTACATTTGTTATGTTTTCAGCGCTCTTGCTGAAGGGAGATTTGCAAATCACATTGTCAGTACACTGATTATCGTTCAAACTTACTGTCGAAGTGGTCAGTTTCTTATTGCTATTGTCATAACATTCTTGTTGTTTTAAATCATTTATTTCAAGATTTTCATCACATTTTTCTTGTTTTTCACTAATGGCCATGTTGTCTATGCACTTTATTATCAACTCTTTGGCGAAATCCGCGTGTGTTTGTTGGGGGAATTCGAAGTTTAAGTTATCTGTGCCCCCCTCATCAGACCCTGGGCTCGAAAGACTGCTCTCGTTAGACAAACTACCAGTCGAAGACCCATGACCCAAATCATCACTCGTAATATTTTTAATCGGAGAAATATCGGAATCAGAAGCTGGGAATGCAGCAGAACTCGTGTCTAAAGTATCTACACCGGAATCACAAATATTTTCTCCCACTAATAAACCATTTTCTTTCACTTTTTCACTGACGTCGACAGACCCAATATGGACCCCGTTTTCTTCCGATTCCGTCGACATTTTTGCTTATAACACTCGCTATTTAACATCTAATTTATTTAATTTGATAATCATGAACGATTAGCCATGAAGAAATTAAATTATTGATAATTTTATAATAAAAATAAACATCAGCAGTGTTTGACGTTACTTGTTATTTGTGGCCAGTCATATTTTTTCTGTAATGTTGCAAGGTATAAAAAAATTCCAAAAGTGTCAATAGAAAAAGTGCAATATATTTTTATTGTTGTATTTAAGTTCTTTATCAATAATTGAAAATGTTTTGAATAAAAGTAAAAAAAAATCATACAGTTAATATGTTATGTTAAAAAAGTAAGGGGTTTTTAATCTGTGGTAATGTAATTATTACCCAACACAAAAAATATTGTGCTTTGGTAGTATTTGTTTGAATATGTAATGTGTAAATAAACAATATTTTTTATTTTAATTTACTATTTTTAACGGTACTATAACAGTTTTTGTTACAAATAAAACTGTATTTAATTCGATTAGTAATTGTAAGGATTGAAAAGGTTGGTGAAATAGAAGTTGTTATGTTAGTGCCAGATTGGATTGCCAACCGTTGTTCCTCTATATCATGCAGTAGCCCTGCTATAATCCATAACACTAATAGAGTACGCTAAAAATATTATTTTTCCATAATCTTTACTTAACTAGTGCCAGTCTGTAATAATATGCAAAAACCCATATTCAGAGGGTGGTTCGTTTACAGTGGTCCAAAGACTTTATTTAGGTTTAAAACATCATAAGAGACCAATTACAAAATAATTTAGTTCAGGGAATTTGCTAGTAATTGTTTTTAAAACTAATCCGATTTTTAATTATTTAACCCAATACTACTCTGTTATGAAAAGTACTGGATCGAATTGAAGGTTTGGTATTAATAGACCTCGTGCAATAACCTATTGAGCTATAGGCTAACGTAGTATAATAATCTATTCGACTGATTTTGTTTTATTTTTAAAGAAAAATTGTTCTTCTGCAAAAGGTACGATTTTTTTTAATTATATTTCTTTTTGTAGGTGCAACTCTTTATTTATCTCCTTTAAAATCAGACAATGTTCTACTTCTTCTAAAAAAAGTTGGCAACTCTAGCCGGCTATTTTAGTCACAATAATAGTATTGTATTTATTTGTATGTTCTTTAAAATCCATATTATCAATAAAACTTCAGTTTCAGACGATTTAATAAAAATGAAATCGTTAACAAACTACTTGCATTTAAAATCAAAACACAATATCTTTAAATTTTTTCAATTAGCAAAATTAGACATTAGACATAGAAATCAATTTTTAACACAGCCTTAGTTTTTCAGGTCTGAACAAAAGTTTACACTACAATATTTAAAAACGAAAACTTCCGGAAGTTCCGTAGTGATTTTATGAAATGGTAGTTTTTTGAAACTGATGCAATGGCAACTCTAGCAGAAAACGTCATGTCATTTCTATTCCGTTCGCCGAAGGAAATTGAAACGGAAAACTAGGTCGTCAGTATTGATTTTTACAATATCCTTCAAACAAAAGGCGCAGCTCCACATTGTATAACGCAAGCTTCATGAATTCCTGAAACCAGACAACACAACGAAGAAATATGCCTGTAAGTACCACGTTATCATGTGATTTGATGATTTCCGGTTTACGAAATTCTTATTGGAATTATCGATTTTACTTCTTTTTAGGTTTTTACTAATTGTTCGTTGTTCCATATCGCTAATTTGGTCTAATCTAAACTAATTTTGGTGCAATCGCGCTTGTTAAGTTGGTGAGTCACGATTTCATTTGTGTCAGGGTCATTCTGGCTAGCATCGTGTTCATGTAGGTACGTAGGTACTTAAGAAATTACGCATTAGGTTTTTAGCAATGAATTCGGCCATTGCTTTAATGTTTTACGCCTTTTACCGTATTATATTGGCTTTTGCATTGAAAAAACTAAGTAAACGTGCGAACTTAGGTTGTTAAATTTGAAATTTTGGACGCGCAACGGAACGTGTGGCGCCCGCGTTATCGATATTTTTAGACGCTTCCCTCTACGATAAATTTGCTTATACATACCTACTTATTTCATAACCTACAAAGCTGAGTTTTTTTTTGCCAAATTCTAATAAGATTCTTATTGCCTTTTTCTTACTTATACGATTCTATAAACTTTCATTTGTAACTAACTATATCTGCGTATTATAAAATATGTACCTACCTATGTACTTATATAAGGGCGTGTCATACGATTATTCGCCCTTTTATACAGCCATAATTCTATTCTACAATGTTTTTATTTATAAGTAGATAGGTACCTTATCCCTTCAAATTTGCTAATAATTGGTACCAACCAGTTTCTGTTAGGTACTACAACCTCTATGCCGATCCTGAGATTCCAGTTACATTCTATGATATAAAATTTTCTAGAACATTCCTTACAGAATCTTATTTTTCCTTGTTTTCTCCAAAATCATCCAATGACTTCTTCCCTCCTTGTGGGAGACCAGAGGGAGTGTCAGATGCTTACTGACTAAAAACCACTCCGTTCCTACTGTTGCTTCAAGCCGGGGCCCTGGTAGCTTGTTAGGTAATGCAGAACTCTGTTCCTGTACCTACTTATAAATCAATAAGTACTTCCAATATCAGCATTGACTAAATATAAAATATGTACATCCATACTAGATTAAAACTGGGAATATAAATGAAGAAAAGAAACGGAAATTAGACCTATACCGATTTAAAAAAAAAAATTATGACAAGTGCATGGACCAAGAGTCCACAGAGAATTAATATTTAACTTTGAAAAAAAATTTACAATGCTCTATTAACTCCTTGTGCGTCTTGGATGTCTGGGCGGCCCCAATTGCTTACAATCAGGTCATCCATCCACTTTTTTACCCCTATATCCTGTAAAAAATACTTTAATTTATCACTCTTATCAATATTATCATTTACTCCTTTTTAATTTTCATCATATTGTGCCACTATCTTAGTCTTTTTTTTAATGTCTCTCATGCAATAATTTTCTTTATTTCTTTGTTTATTTAACTTAACTGCTTTACATTGTTATAATTTATACCATGAATAGATTTCTTAACATATACATAAGCAATAAATTGTTTTCTACAACATGGTCCTTATCTTTTTAACATCATCCTAATCAAGGATATTTGCAAAAAAAACATGTCTATTTGTTGTCAATTACTGACATAGTCTATTTAGCTTTCCCTCTAAAATTGTGTTATTAAAAAAAAACCAAAAAGGTTACATTACACACTTCATAAAGGTTTTAAACCACTGTTTTTATTGATTGCAATACTAAATTGAGTCATTAGAATAAAACCAAAAAGGTTACATTACACACTCCATAAAGGTTTTAAACCACAGTTTTTTATTGATTGCAACACTAGAGTTACAGCTACTGTTTGCGTTACCATGACAACATAGGTGTGCTAACATTGTGATGTAAGCTCATGATTTGTACTAAAACGTAAACATTTTCTCTTTGTGTTTCTAATCTATGCTTTATTATGTTCAGGAGATATTTTTTATACATCACTTTGGATTGGAAGTGAAAACTTCTTTAACTGTACTCTTGACAGATGGAAGTGTTTAAGCTTTTAGAATTGAATTCACCCATTGAAAATCATCCCCTAAATTTGTTCATACAAAAGTAGTCTACAAACGTTGTAAATAAGGTCTATAATGTAGTTAGTGGACATCGGTCACTGGTGACTGCTTTTTTTTTTTTTTTTTTTAATGGGGGAAAATCATCGAATGACTGCCCCCGCCTGGGTGAGGCGGGAGGGAGTGTCAGACTCTTACTGACTAAAAACCACCCCGTTCCTTCTCCTGCACGTCGAGCCGGAGCCCCGGTTACCCGTTAGGTTCTCCGCGACTCCGAATCGGCATCGGCCCTATTGGGCCCCATCTGTGGTGGTCTGATGGCTCTTTGAGGCGCGCACGGAACGCGACGCGCCGTACGCTCGGGTCTGTTTCTGGTCGGACGGGGAGCCACCCATGCTCGCCGTCCGCAGGCCCGCGCTTACGGTGGCCCCGCGCTTACGGTGGCACTGGTGACTGCTAGGGGATATATATGGGTTAAATGCAAAACAATATACTTTTACTTGGTAATATAATGTCAATTTAGTTATACTTACATCTTAGATTATAATTTTGCATAGGTCGTCTGGTAGTTACACTTTAACACCCAAATACTGTAAGGCTACTCAATCGTACAAAATCGTGCCATCTTTGTCAATATACAGAGAATTTATAGTGGCAGAACTATATTTGAGCGCGATATAAATTGGATAGCCTTTCTGTATTTCGACAAAAGTCATACAAAATACAACTGGATGTAGGAATAAAACCAGAAACCTCATGTATGTGTAAAAATTTATCACAAATATCATTTTTATTACTAAAAGAAAACATCAATATGTGATTATTTTCAACAATGAATTATTTAACGAATGTAGGTGGGACACCCAAACATATTTATTATCAAGTATTGTACAGTGCACAGGTCAACCTACTCATTTCTGTCAATTTTTCATTAGATTTTAAACTGTATCGTTTTAGATATAAAGTCGAAAATCCTATGATAAAAAGAGAGTAGGTTGATGTGCTTGGCCAGTGTACTTGAAAAATGTAAAAGCAAAAAACGAACCTTGAATATTAACACAGAATCTTGTTTGTGTGCATAATTTTTTATCTATGCGTTCATCAATGGCGCAGTTTTATCTTGATTCCGTAAAATGTACCTTATTCTCTGTCACTAAAGTTATATTTCTGTCAAAGGTAGATCTTTTCCTTGACTTTATTAGATATTCGATTCTAATACGGAGTTGTAGAGTTGATATTTGTTTGTAGGACGTCTAAGATGCATTTGCACGTGTATTCTTAGAGAATATGAAGTATGTAGGTATGTATAGAATCAAAGGTCACTTCTAACTCAATTGTAAAGGAAATACTTAAGACTTTACAAAAGAATAAACTTTACTGATCCCTTGTTATACTAAT